ATGACCATTTTTATTATGAGATTCTAAAAAAAAAAAACTTATGTATTAAATAAATAAAATATATACTTTAATACAAATTACCAAATTACGTACCTTGTGCCGGGTGTTGAATGTAAGTTCGAACAGTCTTTTGAAGAATTTCGGGAGGGACCGAATTTAAATTATCATTTAGGTCAAATTCCTCCATCTGGTTACGCTCATTATGTTTTTTAATTTGTAACGTTGTGAAAGAGTTATGAATTACCTCCTGCATAGCAAGAGTCTTCAAAATAAGTGAAACGTTAAAACGATCTAGTTTAAACAGACACAGGACTTTCAATGCAGTTAAAAACATACAGATAAATCATCGGATTCCATCTCCATTGGATCGTTTGAATTATTGGAAATAATTTTTGAGTGTTGATCAACAGATCTGGCACGTGTGGTCGTAGTAAACTTCAAAGAACTATCATTTGCATCATTTTTCTTGACTTCCCATGAGCCCTCAGAACGGCCTTTACCACCCCACGTATCTTTAAACATATCAGATCTTTTATGTATACGAATGTCTTCAGAAGGAGATGACCTCTTTCTATTCCAACCATTATTTTCGTAATGAAAAGGTGGTTTCTTCCATTGATCATCACGATCATGAACCGAGGTTGGTGGGTTACTTGTCACCCATTCGACTTCTTCTTCGGGAGTGGGAGCTTGTTTTATAGTAGAATCATTTTCACGATCCTGTGATGAAGACGGTTGATCACTTGTTATCCATTCGTCATCATCAGACAGGGGAACTTGTTTTATCACGCGATTATCATCTTGATCTTGAGGAGGAGTAAGCGTCCTTTCAATTACTTCATCATCATCAGCAGAAGCCTGCTTATCTTCCCAATTAATTTCTAATTCAGGTTCTATTACATCTTCAGTAGAAATAGATTCTTGCTTATTTGCCCAATCATCTTTAGCTTGCGTTTGCACACCCTGTGTGCCCCAATTATCATAATAAGTTGAAGTTTGTGGCCAATTGTTTTCAGTAGGAACTCGTGGTCGTCCCCAACCCTCATCGGTGGTCGAAGGTTGTTTCCAATTATCATCATTAGAAGCACTACTTGAAGGTAGCCAACCTTCATCGGTGGTCGAAGGTTGTTTCCAATTATTATCGTTAGAAGTATTACTTGGAGGTAACCAAGATTTGTCATTCATTATTTTTTTACTGTAACCCAAGGAAAATGATTGTGGAGGAAACAAGTACATTGCCCATAAAAATTTCAATCAGTCTTTTTGGTAAAATAAAAAAGAAAAACCGATAATTTTCAAATTATTCATATTTTTAACCGACGTGATAATTATTATTTTTGATAAGTTCCACAAATTTACATTTTTTTGAACAATTATTTTTACCCATGCAATTCGACTCACCGTGACTTTACGATAACAATTCTTCAACAACTAAGTTTTACGCGAAAACTTTGTATTAAAGTATATATTTTATTTATTTAATACATAAGTTTTTTTTTTTTAGAATCTCATAATAAAAATGGTCAT